AGTCAAGAGATTAAATGCCCAACTTTATAACTCAACATTTTACAAATCCCACATTTTTCATTTGTTATACGAAGCTTAAATCTTAAGGGCTGATAAAATTAAATAATCTTTAAAGGAAGAGCGCAAGAAAAAAGCGGTATCCTTGCTATAAATATTTATCGCAACGACTCGACACCCTCCTATTATTATTAAAAGGGAAATAATCGCAAACTATTTTACACTACGTCCGACTGAAATCCAATTCACGAAACCTCGAAAAGCTTAGTATTGCTTCATCGTTCAATTCAATTTCATAGTAAATTGTTCATAACGGAAGCTCATATCCGGCGTTGTGCTCTGGCTCGGATGCCTCTCCCCAAATAGGGCACCACTTCCAATGGGAGGTTTACCCTCCCTAACTTGGGGTCAGAGAGATTGAGTAGTAATTCGCGTATCCTGTCTCGGACGAGCAGACTTTTGGTTAGATTGTGACCAAATATTAATATTGGTCGATACGGAACTACACATTCTAAGGATTATCCCTGAAATCATCTCGCCGTGACCTGTTGCTTATTAGTATTGGGATGTAAATTAATGTAATGGGACCATTGATGGTCAATTTACGATCGGAATTTGTTTGTAATGTTTAGTTTATATACCGTATTGATAATTTTCGGCTAATTTAATGTTATGGATTCTGTATTAGAATAATTGCTATAATTCACAGTTTATTTACGCGCTATTTAAAAGAATTATGGGGGATAGTGGACTTGAAAGCTTTTAGTCAATATCATTGAGACTGATGGGGTTTGATTTAATTATGTGGTATTATAAAGTGAATACAATTTATTTATACTATGTTATTACAAGATGAGTGATTGATAAAATCACATAACTACTTTGAAACGGAAATGCCCATCGGTTGTCATAATTTACCTTTCTAACTCAACAATAGAATTGTTTGAATGTCGGAATGATTTACATTCCATAAAGAAATCATATTCGCCATTTTCTATTTTTAAGATGTAAGTTTATGTAGTGAGTAAAGTCAGCTGCAAGAAATCCTGTTGGTCATAGAGTTGGTTCAAAATACAAAATTGTTTTCATTCGAATCCGTGCCAAATTTCGTATGCATCGTCTTTTGAAGCAGCTGCGCGCAGTCACTAAAGATCCCTAGGAAATCAAAGAAACGGAACAATCTGAAGGAGCTGAGACATCACAAAAAAGGATTAAGCTGAAGGATCCGTAACATCCGAAATATTAAAAAGGTCTGGATAAAAAATTTAAAGAATCTGAACGAAAACAATTTCTTCTTAGCCACATTTATATTTCAAAGAATTATTGGCCCTACTTATAAAATAGCGGATCGTTAATCCCGACAGCCATTTTTAGTCATTTATTGGTTAAAGCCTTTTTACTACCAATCCCAGATGGTTTTGGGGTCGTTCATCAATCCCACGCGTTAGCCCGAGCTCTCCTAGAAGAAACAGATCAAGGTACGATTAAGAAAAGTAGTAGTGTTAGAGCTGTAAAAGAGGAAGGCACTATTCGAAACAAATTTCCGACGGCATTAACAGCTGTAGTTCAAGCTGTCAAGGCTATGGTGACAAAGAAACAGATTCATTGTTGGAATTGCGGAGAAATTGGCCATTTCTAGAATCGATGTCCAAAGGTTCGTGCGTGGGAGAATGGAATCGACAACAAATCAGGAAAACTAAAAAAAGGTCGAGGAAAAGAGGCAAACATCGACCTGCTATATGAAGGCCCCATAAGCCACTGTCTCTCTCCGCACTCATTACTAATAGTTAGATTTGTGTAGATGATTTAGTGAATGGAAAATCAGCTGTGTACGTACTTGTAGAAGATGTAGATACCGGCACGATAAGAGTGATAATGGCGCTCCGGATTTGGTTAAAACAATTATCAGCTATTGCTTTGAAGCTAAGGAAGCGGCAGTATGGTAGGCGATATTAAAAACAATTTAACTTTGGTAAAGAAATTGGAATTTAGAAGATAGTCCGGTGAATGCGACAAATTCGGTTAATGACGCGTGTAAAGAATTAGCAGACCAACTCGCAATAGTCTGCCTTACTCAAAAGACAACAAAAGATGAAGCTTTATAGTTTCATTAAAGATTATAAATATATATTTAAGACCAAGGAGGAAAAATCGAATGGAAGAACCTGGTGCAACACAAGATAAACGCCGAGAACCCACAAACTATTCAACAATCACCTAGATGTCTTCCGCTAGCAAAACGAGAGGAAAAGGAAGGAAAATGATAAATGTGGACGAAGCGTATCCGTCGATGGAGATATAACTTGAAGTGTGAATATCTCGAAAACGGAAAAGTACTCTTACAAATGATACATGTTTGATATTAAGGTGTTCAGGTTATCTTGTAGAATCTTATTAATTGTGGTCACAGAGGTCACTACGAATAAGGTTGCCTTTGCATGGCAAAGTATCAAAAATAAGGTAGAAGGGCAAATGTGTTCAATGGATTGCTTACTTGCGTTATGTCATTTTATTAAACAATCGTTCTATGGTTGATTTTTATTTGCAAATTTATTTATAAAAAGCTATGGAACCCAGTTATTGGGGTAAGCAAGGCTAATCGTATCAACATATGTTTAATTTCTCTATTTTAGTTCCTTTCTCGGATATCTTATCTGCACCGAAACAGTATCGTTAACACTTGAGTACAAACTAGTAGCACAGATATTGGGTATTTTATCTGTGCTAGTAGCTTGATATAGAAAGATACCTACCGTTAAATTTGGCAGGCTTAGTGGTTCTCCATCCATTCTACGGAATCGCAGTATTACCTACTTCGAGTTGCCGAAGTTCGAGTCTCCCGTTTAAGACAAATAAATGTGGTAACATTATTTATGTAAAACGTGCCTTTGTTGTTAATGACCGTATTGCTATTCTTTATATAACATGTGCCTTGGTTGTTCATGTCTTTATATGCGTTGGTGATTCAACATTAATTTAAACCTACATTTTTTGTGTATCTTTATGCCCTTATATTGTTGCATGTATTGGTTGTAGCGGGTATTCCCTATTGTCCATATTTAATAATTGTTAAAGATTTACTATTGCATTTATCGATTATATTACAAAGCTAATTCCGTTACTGTATTGGTTCTCTTGACACAAGGTCTTACAGGAACAGCTGTTCTGGTTATTGTTTTGTACTTTAGTGTTAATATCATTAAGATATGGAATTGGTTACTTTAATAATTTGTTATTGAAATTAAATGATGAGTTGGCCTTAGCCCTGTTAACTCTGTTAATGATCTTGGCGTCACATTTGATTTTCGTCTCAGCTTTAAGGAGCACATACACTCCATTTGCACCTCAGCTATGAAAACCCTGGGATTCATCATAAGAAATACGCAACAATTTAAAAATATCAATTTACTCTTTCCTTTGTATTACTCCTTGGTGCGCTCTAAGCTCGAGTATTGCGACCTCGTATGGTATCCACTATACAACGTATATAAACATGACCTTGAAAACATTCAGCGAAGATTTTTAAAATACATTGTATTTAAAATTGATAACGAATACCCGCAACGTGGTTTTCCTCAGGACACGCTGTTGGCACGTTTTGACGTTCACTCAATGGAACAAAGACGAGTAGCTAATAGCATTAAGTTTTTAAACTTGTAAACAATACTTTAGATTGTCCTTATTTACTTGAAAAACTGTCATTTACTATACCAATGTATTCTACCAGGCATTTAGACACCTTCACTTATCCTAATCCAAAATCCAATCTTCTTCGCAGAACTCCATCTTTAATAATGGCAGGTAATTGTAATATGAATTGTCAGAACTGTGACATTAATTATAATTCATTATCGAATGTTTTAAGTTCTATTTTTAATTAACAGAATTTTGTAATTATTATTTTGCCTGCGTTCATAGAATTGCTTTCCACTTTGCAACATTAAGTGTACCATTATATACACATACCCTTTTCTCTTACTGTTTGTTTACTTTTCTTACTAATTTGTAATAATTATATTCCATTTATCTTTTTTTTTATTTTACTTTTTTTATAATAATTTAATAATAATGTATGTATACGCTTCTATATTTACTTTTATGATTGTTCAGTTATGGATTACTAAGAATCTGTTGAACAATAAACATTACTGATTACTGATTACATATGTTAGCTATCGCTGATTATTCAGACAGGAAGTCAGAACCCCCTAGTGTAATTTTGGTATGCACTCCTTCGGATTTTTGTAGAACTAAGTTATTCTTTCTCCCTTGTTCCACAGCCTCATCGATAGTGCGGATTGTATACGGGTATGTAGGTGGGAAAAGTTACAATAAAGTCACTGTAGGAAAAGTCCCTTTCTTCTGATTTTCATAATAAAACGTCTTCGTCGTGTACGGTCAACCGGCTAATACCGCAAAATTGTAAAATAGCGTCCCTTTTCGGTCTATAACACATTACGAATATTATCTTGCATTCGTGATACCTGTGCGATAGGGATAACCTAAATGAAGGTTGGTCTTCTGTACTCCTTCACAATTAACAAATGGAATTGAGTTTTTTATTTACCCCAAATCGAGACCATTACACACCAGTACGTCTTACAGAAGTTGAATTTATCGACATTAGTATCATTCTATTCACCTGTAGAAGTTCAGAGCCAATTAATTGTCTATGGTGTGCCATGTGGTTGGTCTCTACGTTTTCATGAGTTGGTTGTTTTGCCCAACCAACTGAAAACAAGCCGAAATGCGCTTTTTATTTTCAAGTGGCCACTGTCACAATTAGGGACTGTGTGGAAAAGTTTAAACCAAACAACAGTTTATAGTAGAAAAATTTGTATGGCAACATATAGTAGGTATGCACGTTGGTAATGCACGGGATCTAATCTTCCCTTCACAGATCATAAACTTCGTTTACTTGTAAATTTTTTACAACCGATATAAATATTGTGACGAAACACTAAAAAAGTGTTTTTCTCTTAAAACAGTACTTAGGTGGGTATGATAATAGTGAATTTAACTTTTAATTAGCATGCCTGCTCCACCGTCACAGCGTATACGGTGATAATTTGCACAAATCGTTTATGTAAGCAAAACAGTTAAAATGGAAATCTGTCGCGAAGCCGCTTAGTTAGTTTCTGTTAGAATTAAGCGATACGTGCGGGAATTTAAAAAAAATCGCAACTACCGTCTGGTTACTTTAAAATTTTTCAAATTAATTTTTACTAAGTAACTCGAAGCCGTAAAACTATCCTTATCTAAAACGTGTAGAATGTGCATGTTTCATTAAATTATTTCGACTATAATTTTACAGGAAAAGCGCTTTAGTTTTATAAAAGTTTTAATAAAGAAAGCGAACGAGGCTCCTGGGGAAGAAATATAATTAAGAATTAAAATGGACACCGTAAAAGAGGAAAAGAGGTGAGCAAATATGAAATTGTAGAGATTTTATGTAATAAAGTGCTAATGTGAAGATTTTTATGGAGGGACGCATATTTGGTTAATGACTAAAGTTCTGAATTTGATGTAAATATTTAAATTATTACCTCGATTTCCTACTTCGCAGTGCTGAAGAAGGAGACCGGGAATTACAGCCGTTAATTGAAGGTCCAGAGAATACAATTTCCAATCCCGCTAATGTAATAAATAGTCATTCCCTTGACGTAGATGGGTTACATTATGATCATGCAACGTACTCCCGGCGATCGTCTGCTATCATAGCTGCATTAAGGAGGCCATCTCAAGCAATTGCCTTATCTGCGGCTCATGCGGTAATGCACCAAAGAAGAGCTTTACTGAGGTAATTTGTCCGCATAAATCTTACGCATCTTGGATAACGTTGAATAATCTTGGTCAAATTCTCGCCCGACAATGCAATATAGAATGCCTGCTGGGCTTGAACGTAGTAATCGCTATAGATTGAAAAAGTTCTGTGCCATTTAAGCTTGTGTTTTCGTAAATGATGTAGGCTGAATATTGCTACGAAATTCGTGTTTATCGCTTAATTTTGGCAGTATAGTGAACTGTTTTATTCCAAATTCGCAAGGAAATAGTCATTTGTGTACCAATAGCCGTCCGAACAAGCAAGCAAACTATTTAGCAATTTTATTAGAGCTCGTCTAATGAATATGTATCTATCTAATCAGCTTTTTGGTTGGAGGTGCTCACTTTAGGTTTTTATTGCTGATGACAAAATAAAATGCATTTTCCTCTCGCAAAGCAATGTTCAAATTTTTATTTATCATAGTTTTCCGAATCTATGGATCTCTGGATGTCGCACCCACAATTAATGGGATTCATCTATAAGACAACCTGAACATCTATCAAACATATACCTATCATTTGTAACTACCCTATTTTGACATGCCGTTTTCGAGATACTATAACACTTGAAGCTTTGACTCCACTGACGAATGCGTCTCGTCGAAATCTATCATTTTCTCTTTGCAAAAGTGTTTTTTCGCAAGGAGCTCAAAATCAAGAGGGTCCACGTACACGTTTTTGTATACCAGAGATTTTATCGTAGATCGTGTCTACGACAACCACACAGTACCAGGATTTTTCTCAACGAAACCTAAATACTCGAGTACCTATATTTGGAGAGATTACTCCACTTCAATATTGGCGTCTCTTCTGAAATAAACCTTTTTACTCTCTTCTGAAAGAAATTATAATGTCCATTAAACTCCCTGCTGGCCATATAATTAAAATTATCTTAATAAACAATGTAACATGTAATTCTAGATAAGCAAATTCAAATCATTAAGTAACGGTCATTATGACGCACAGGGTTTCAACTAATATATCGATCGGGATTAGTCGTGTGTTGTTTCACCCTGGAGTAGGTGACAAATCACGGCTCATCCCTATTCACATGTTAGCTGAAACACGGGATCAAAATACGTGTTAGATGTTACCGACCCTTCTTACTCCTTCTGGTGTAGACCATATGTATGAGTAAGTGTTAAACAAAAATAGCTGCAAGTGACTTTAACCCCGAGCTGTATTGGGAAGTCATGTTGTGGCTGCCTTCAACATGTGACATTGATTTTGCCATCATTTTTGTTCTCCCCATCAGCGGATTAGAAGAGACATAGCCTTCAGTGTCCTCAGTTTTTGGCATTAACTCGGTAGTTTGCCTTTATTTTGTTTGTTTGTTTGTGTTTACAATTTAACTAGAATATTAGCATAATGTTTGCTTGGAAAATTAATTGTCGTTAATAAGACCGAAACATGTGTCAGCATTTAAAGATAGACAATTGGTTAAATGGACGATGTTTTGCAATTTTAGTAGCTTATTTAAAATTTGCTTGTGAAAGTTCAAAATGTCGAATAGATTAGACGTAATTTCGAAAATACCAAAATCGGTCATTTCCTTCAATGCCTTATATAATCGAAAGTATACGAGAAATTAAAAAAAGTTTTATATAAAAGTTAATTTACGTTTTTACGTTTAATTTACGATTGATGTCAAAAAAATTCAAGATGGCTACTTTTGAGGAACAATTACCAACATCCTGAAGTTAAATCCGCGTTATATTGGATTTGTAGATTAGTTAATAGATTTCGTAATTCTCTTTTCAAGGAGCTATCATAGCATCAAATTGAATAGTATATTGAAAGACAAGTGTTACAATGCGACCTATTGTAATACGACTATCTTGTGGCACGAGTGGCGACGCGAAGCGTAGCCACGAGTGTCCGCAAGATAGGAGTATTACAATAAAGCATTGTAACACGCGTTTTTCATACTATTTTTTCTATTTCGGTGCTTTAATTTAATTAAAAAAATCATTATCAGAAAGTATAGGGAACATTAGAACTAACATGTTTTATGTTGGGAACACTTTTTATGCCGTTAAGTTTTAGGTTGGCAGCGTAGTAAGACTGACATTTTGAAGTTCAAACATGTACCCAACGAAGTACCTACTTGTACTAACTAGTAACTGCCAAATTAAGAGATGAGTTACCAAAAAAAACGACTATAATCACTGTCTTTGTACAACTGTTTTCGGCCGAAAACAGTTGTACAAAATCATCATTGTGACACCGAAATAGAAAAAATAATTTATATCAACGGTTTTTATATATTAATCAAGTAGTCCGCGATGAATAAAAAAAAACAAAATCTATGCGATGATTTTTTTTGATTCGGCATTAGTTTTACCTTTATTCGAGGTGCCTACATTAATTTAAATATCTTACCAAATAAAAAAATCGGATTGCGAATGCGCAAATTGTTTTGATTTGGCATACGGACAGATGAACGGACAAAGTAACCACAATACAATTTATTTAGTTATTCACATTTCATCACATAATATGATTGGCCGCTATTAACGAACATAAAATACAAAAAATTCAAAATCACTGTTTACGTTTTGCGTGTAATCTTAAACGTAGTGATCATGATCATATACAACCTATACTTCAACATCATAATATGCTAAATATGAGAACTAATCGAATATACCACATGCTAAGACTTTTGCATAAAATCATTCTTAATCAAATACCGCTTTATCTCTACACAAACTTTCGGGCACTCAGTAGTTTCCATTGTTACGGTACTAGGACTTCAAATATTAATATTCCTAAGGCTCAGACAAGCATTGGAGCATCGTCCTTTTATATACAAGCGGCCAAATTGTGGAACAAGCTGCCAGAAGATGTTAGACACACCAGGTCCTGTAAAGGTTTCGATCGCAAGTGTTTTTGTTTGTTGCAGGACTCTGAACATGTTTTTTTAATGTTTAATGTGTAAATTTATACGTAGAAAGCTATTATTTTTTCGTTTTTCTTGTTATACTGTTTTACTTACTTTTTACTTTTTTTTGTTATATTTACTTTGTATTTCATAATATTGTTAACTTGTTTTGTTATATCTGATGCGACCAAGTTTGTAGAGGGGGGATATTAATGCTTAACTGCGTAAAGTTTGAGCTGAATCGGCCCAAACATTTACCAGTTATCGTGTTCATAAGAAATAATAAGAAAAACATGTCAAAATCTGCTGTCTTTACGGCAGAATAATGAAAAACTAATTCTTCCGGACTAACGGTTTGAGTTGTCAAAAAATTGGTAATAAATGTAGTTATAGATACTTTTAGGCTGAACATTTTTTGTTTGAAACCTTTTTCGATAACCTAAAACGCCCGCGTAAAGAGAATGGCACTGGAAAAAGGCGGTCATTTTGAATGACGTGATATTGGGAAAACTTCGGTGGTAGGGAATGTCCACCAAAGTTCTTTTTCCTTTCGTCCTTTCAATCGCCGTCTGCAGAATTGGTTCCGAGTTCGATGCCCCGCGCCGGTCACCTCTTCTAATATGATTTCATGTCGTTTTTGTTGTGATATGCGATTTTTCAAGAGCCACTCATACTTCTCGGTCTGGGTTTGAACCCTTATTATAAGCAAATCACGAGGTTTTTATAAACAAACCGCAAGCAAAAAAAATACAACACTCTGCAGGCTTTAAAACAATCCGCTGCTCATTTGTATCCCCATTGATAAATGGAAAGTTTTCGGTTTATGGTGAAACTCAGTTGTTAATATTGGTGCACTCAGTTCAGCAATTCACACAGTTTATTTGTTGCGATTCTCGATCTTGTTTCTTCGGTGCACTTCTTTACAATTATTCTTCCATTAGAATTTAGATAACACGTAAGTCGAAATCACCTCCCACGCACTGTATTTCCTTTTATTATGAAGTCGTTCATTGTCACATTTAAATGTGCACTTTATTGGCCGTGCCTTTACGTAATTCAAATAATTTTTACTTCACAGAAGGACCTGCCTAAATTATTTTACTAAATCAAAGAGTGACATTAACACCGCCAGGTCTGGCACTCGTCTCTCTGTCAGCCAGACCTCGAATTCTCCCGCTGGAATTATCGCTACATCTTATGTAACATTTCACACGTACATACTCATGATAAAACAATACAGGTATAATGTGAAGTTTTATGATGATAATTATATACAAATTTTCTTCTAAATTCGTATCAAAAGCATAGCATCCGTTACATAGTACAGTCACAAATACATTAAACTGCAAGTTTTTAAACTACGAATAATTTTTGTATATTTATATTTACATTTTTTGTTTTTATCTTTAAGTGGGCGGGGTTTCATCAAGGCTGCTCGGCCCACTTTTCCGCCATCTTGGTTTTTATTAATGGACTAATTTAATCAAGCCTTAAATTATATCACTTATTAATATAAAATTTGTACTCGACTTTATGAGAATCGGATTATGTTATGGGCGTGGCCACGCGATTTATTGACAACCTCATTGAATTTATCCCAGGATTTATTCGCGAATTTATTTTAATTAAGTTTGTAACAAACCCCTAGCCCCATCTACCTGTAGGTAAATAATCTTGCCACATCAACTCCCTTATAAGCAGCACGGCAACAACAAACCTGCTTTGAAGAGGACGCCATGCGAATAGCTACCACTTGAATTTTTACTTTGTCTGTACATTGCCTGTACGTCCGTGTACACTTACACCTTCCGGAATCTTACAAATAAAATAGAGTCTTGTGCGGAAGACAGAGTTTCGTATTGCCATCTTCCAACAAGTTGTGATAACTTGTGGAATTCCGTATGAATTGCTGAAATATTTACTAATGTCCTTTTTCTGTCCTTACGCACATAAGGAAAATATATCGACAAAAAAAGAAAAAGAGAGAAAAAATTAATACGTAATTAAAGTACTGATTACTGATTTATTCCAGTAATTATTACCGAATGCTAAGAGATCACAATTTTAATTAAAATAATTCATCAATAAATAAGTCCACAATTCGAAAACCATGTGATAAATTTAATAAACAGGGCAATAAAGCGTGTCAAAAATCCATTTTTTTAAATAATTAAATTAATTGAATCCTCTCCGCAAAACCGCAAAATTAAGTAACCAATCGCTGCGCGAATCAGCAACTAAAATCCAAGATGGCCGGAAAAGTGGGTTCATTCTACTTACCATTTCTCAATGTTGATCCCTTAGAGTTATCGAAAATCCTGATTACAATCCCGAGACACGAGAAGCAAAGCTCGACGAGAACGAGGAGACGAATCACACGCTTCATAAGCCAAGAGAGAGTTTGTAAGTACCTATCTATGTGATATATGTTTTTTACTCCACAAACCTTTACAGCAATGCATCTACTACCATTCTGTCAGCGCTATACGGGAAACTGTTAGTTATCCTAGGAATTGCAATTCCGATCACAGACACAATTTCACCGGACGCAAATTTTTCGTTCTACCAAGGCTTTTATTTGTATTTATACTTCGGAAGCATCGGTTTCGTTGCTTATATGTACATTACGTTAGTAAAGGAGAAGGCAATCTTTTCCATCATGAAAGCATATCGTAAGTATGAATTTATGTAGTGCAGCCAATTTCAGATTCGTTACACTAATTCAATAGTTTGGTTCACAAAGGGTAAACTTCATTAGGGTATATTGATCAGTGCTTTGATGAAGTGAGAGAGGTAATTGACTCGTTTAATTAAAACGAAAATTTTAATGGTTTGCCCTAAATATTCTATTAAACCTTTATTTTTGCGAAATTGAATTGTGTAATGCGATTTTTAATGTAAAAGCGTCTTCGGAAACTGTAAAATTGAATAAACTTAATAATCAGGTCCTATCTTCTCAAAAATAACGGAACCTTTTAAGTTAAGATTTAAGATACTTTATGAATAAGCCTTTATATACACAAGAAAAATCAGAATTCCGTTCCTTCATTGTAACGAGTCTCCACGGTATTGCTTTCCGTGACACCGAAAATAAACGTACACTTTCACAGGAGTGAAATATCTCGTATGCTTTCCTTCATGATTAATAGAAATAAGAGTTTGTGCGTTTCATACACCTTCTGCAGGGGTATGGATCGAGTAAAAAATTGACAATGTGATAAACAAACTCGTTTACCTATAAAACACTGATAAGCTTTCGAACCTAACCCAAACTTACCGCATCCGTGGTTGAGCAACACGATGGATTATTAGACAAATCAATGCCAGAAACTGCTAGCCGGATATTCTAGTCCGTCTCAACTAAATACTACCTAAAGTATCTACCGATGTGGTTTTGTTGGCGTACACGTTATAAGTTTTCTTTATAGTCTTCTGCCTTGATCATACACTAACGCCAAAAATTGACCTAGTTTTATTGGTTTTAATGTCTTTATTCTTTAACTGAGATATTCTTATCCTGACAACATAACCCATGGAAGAATATGTTTATCACAATTTCAATCTCAAAAGATACTAACATTTCTTATGAAATGTACCCGCTGAAAGACAATACACTTTAGTAAATAAGAAACTGGGAATGAATGAGACAGATAACTGAAAAGTAAATAAAATTAGTGTATCAAAAAGTAATGCAAAACAAATGTGTACAAAATTTGAGCCACTCTCAGTTGGTCCGGGGTGCGAGATCAAATTTGGGCTATTGGCCGGGGGTGCGAGATCACGCTTAGGCAATTGGCTCGGGGTGCGAGATGATATTTCGGTAGTTGGCCCGAAGGTGCTTCAGCAGTTGACCCGGAGTGCTATATGTCGGCAGTTGGTCCGGGGTAGTTTGGCAGTTGGCCCGAGTGCTTTGGCAGTTTGCTCGGGATTATTTTCGTAATTACAATAAAGGTCTCACATTTTCGTTTTTTTTTAAATTTACTTAATAGGTTTGTATGTCAGCTCTCCCTATGAGACGACACACATCTAAGCTTGCCCATACACTGCGTGAAAACGTCAGTGCATAAGAATCCCACGCTTACATTCAGTATTACACAAAACACACTCCGCGTTTTGGTTGTACACTCGCCATGACTGCAACAAAACTAGCTGGTCTACTACAATCGGTTAAAATTATGCGCTTCAAGCGCATGCACACACTTACAATTTCAAGGTCAGCCCAATAACCTAGCAGAGTTACAAGCCTAGTTACTTTTCTGGTAACTTTTTTAATTCTAGTGACTTTTCTACAAAATTTTTGATTTTTTCTAGACGAATTTTGATTAAGGTCAAAGTACGTAATTCTCCAAGGGCAAATATTGAAAGCTTAACGAAGAAAATAGAAGCTCCTACAAAATGGCCGCAGTCTACTTTTTATTGACTTCATCGTTTAACTACAACATTTTTAAAGCCTCCGTAATTAACAGGTTCTTACGCGTTAGCCTACTACGAGTATTTCAAGTATCGTAGGTTCGAATCCTCAACGCCAATAAGCAACCTCCAGCAATCACTGATGACGAGGGTCCAAGGTGACGAGTCTAAAATAGCATCCAAGATGGTGGGTTCAAATTGACATCCAAGATGGTGAACCAAGTACCACAGTACCTACCCCAGGCCGACTGCCGAAATATAGCATCCCGGGTCAACTGGCGAGGCACCCCCGGATCTCGCACTCCGGACCAACTGCCGATAAATTATCTGGCACCCTGGCCAAACTATCGAAATTAGAATTTTCCCACGGTCTAGTTCACCAATACCTACAATTATTCTTGAACCCTCAGATAAAACACGATATATACCATGCAAGGTGCCGTTTACACTTCTGTAAATACATCCTAGGTTTGTAAATGGTACTTTTATATTGCTTGGTACGTAAACTACCATTACACTGCACTTCACTGTATCTCCGAACATGACAAGAGAAATGTACATCAACAAAGCACAATATTTGATAGGGAAACATGTACGAAACTCATTTAAAGGGGATTTTGTATTTAATAAATTGATTTTTTAGGCAAAGAAAGTAGAAGCTTTATCAAGAAGAATACACTGTCTGTGGGGCGGTTGTGGCATTCTAAAGCTGAGCGATACGGAAGTCTGTACCTGAGACTGGGAGCGATCGGTGAGTACTCCTTTTTGGATGAGGCGCACCTATCATGTAGGATCTTTAATTTATACCGTCAATGACGCCAGCCAGTATCCAATTAAACAATTTTTGAGGTTCTTTTTTAAGACGCCACTGAAAGGTAAATTCAGGTTCATTTACTGGTGTAGTGACACTTACAAAGAAAAATGTGGCCTTTAAGATATGATTGGCTAAACCAAATGAATTTTTTTTGTGAAGCAGATTTAAATGTTCGATGATGGGTGTAGTTTTTGAAAATGTATTGTAAAAGCTCAAGTCCAGCCGAGAAAAGACCGCGCAACTCAAACTCAGAAATCAAAACTCCCGTCAAAGCCAATTGAAACTCATGATGCATGATCGTCAAGGAACAAGCCTGCCTAAAAGTTAGATCGCTCGTCCAAAGTAATGGCTCTCAATCGGGAATTCAATCTACTACGATAATTCAAAAACAGTGTAAATTAAACGTGCAGATCCAAGTTTATTGACTTCCGCTCAAGGAGTAAGCTAATTACGAGTAGGAACTAATCAGGAAATAACTCTTAAAGATTCGGGCAATATTTTAAACAGACAAAACTATACCATGGTTTTCTTGTATGAACCTGTCTAGAACAAAACAACAATATTTTCCGTTTGAATGTAAATTTAATTAATGAGAATTTTCTGAGTTCACAATTTAGATTTTAATATCGAAATAACGAAAATATTAATTATTAAGTGTGTTTCTTGCAGTACACATCAGTATATGACAGTTGTGGCACAGTATATCATGATACAAAATTTTATCATTGACACAACCTTTCTCTTTAAAAAAATGCAACTTTGATATAACTCACCCTGTATAATTTCAATTTCGTTGAAAATATTTTGTAGGTTGTACCCTTAAAACCTGCCTTAAGAGTTCTTCAACATGTTACGACAATGAATTTTCAATGTTTGCGTTAATAAACCCACAATCAATAAATGAGTAGGATCACAGTAAATAATTATGACACAAAAACGTTTATGAATGCCCAGGATTTGATTAAAACGGTTATAGGTTATAATTTGGTACCTTCGGTACAAGTAAGTGCAAAATGGGTACAAAATAATGTTATTGACAGGTCTTCAAATTGAATTATACTGTGCTAGGAGTGTACAGACACTTTTATAAACGCTTGGCGCTTGGTACCCATTATTTCAGTGTGCTTTGTGCGGATCAGTATCAATAAAATAATGATCTTTGTGATCCAGAAAAAGATCTTTTACTTTCCTACATTTTGTTATCTTTTGTTTAGCTTAGTCACGCTATCCATTTCTGTGGGAAAAGGTTCAAAGTTAAACTGACATTATACAACCGGGCCTAAATAAGCGTTCCTTAATTACGCACAAAGTTTAAGTTTATTCTACTATAAAATGATTAAAATGCCAAGTAATAACGATGTTTCTGTATCTTGTAGCCTTCACCAGATACAATTATGTCGTGGTCTAAGATTTCATCAGTGTAGGAGTCCAGTACTCCGTGTGGTTCATTCACGGTACTTGCTTTGCTTAATTACGTAGTACTGTTTTTACAATTATTCACAATGGGTACTTATAATTCAGATTAAACTCAAATTCTCGCAATGTTATTGTCACTTTATTTATTGGTTTACAGGCGATTTAATTTGGTACTTGTAATTTTATAATCTCTCCTTGTACACTTTCGGCATCTGCTAGAAAGAAGAAGCCCCAATACTGACTCAAATTCCAAACAGTTAATTATACAAATTTTGATCAACACCTAAAATAAATCTTGGATACGAAAAGGTAAATCTGACATGAACACTCTATGGGAGTCGCACAATGGTTTGGAATAAACACATTCAATTAACTGATTGACAAAAACAAAAATTGATTCACACATGAAATGAAAATTAAAACAAAATTCATGAAAGAAAGAAAAGATTACAAAGCTTATTTGGACAAATTACCCCGCACGCAGGCGTTCCATTTAATAAAACAAGAAAATCTTAAAATTAATTAGTTTTTTTTCTCTTTTTATAATCCTAATATTCTGGTCGTACAAAAGTTTGCGATAACAAACCGCACTTAACTTCACACGTAAACGATGACGGATTCTGAACTTCTTCAACTCGTTAAATCGAGCGGACTACCCATAATGAAACGTACGCGCTTTTTCAATCGTCGCAAACCACCTAACCTCGTTTTTACGTTAATTCTAGTATTTAATGAAACATTCCTTCCACAATAAAATAATCTCCTTCCTCAAGATTTTTCAAAAACACCACCAATCATAATTACATTTACAGTTTTCGTAAACTGTAGTTATACTTGAGGATAATAATTCATAAAAGATAGAATATTTATTTTTGGAAATTTGTGCGAACCATTTTAATGCATATGTAAGGCACATCCGTTAGCTTTGTACATGAATTCATCATTGAAATGCCTCTCGTTCCAGTGTACTCGCACTTTTCTTAAGATGATAGTTTTTCTTAAAAGCATTTCGTAATTTGGTATACATGTAGTACAAAACGCAAGCTCATATAGAACTTAATGAAACGTCGTATTTTCATCCAAAATAATTCAGTCGATTTAATTAACGGAAAACAAATCTATTAATATTAGATAGACAATTAAATCCAACATAATAGCAAATTAACTAGTAGGCCAATTAACTCCCGCTTTGTAATGTCTAGCCTTCGGTATCGGAAGCATGGTGTACTCTGGATTAGAGTTTGCTCATTACTTCGAACTGGGAAATAACCAGGATTGTCATTCCAACGTCCTGCAGGCCGTCACTCCCGCCTCCCGAATGCTATTAACTTTAGTGCAAATTCAATTTATATTTCTGAACAGCAAGGTAAACTAACTCGAACGTTATTCCTTTAACTTGCGGCTTCGCGTTTTTTAGGATATCGAGCTGGACCGTCACAAAATTGTTGCGAGATTCGGCCTGATGCATATGATTGCAACTAATCTGTGCGAGTGGCTGTACGTTCTCGTAGAGGAGACAAAGCATGAAATTGCGCACTTGGCAGGTTCGTATGAATTGCATTTGTAATTAATTGCGAGCTAATTAAACTGTTTGCAGACGTTTCGAATAACACATCATTGATACTACACGATAATCTTTGCTTGTCGGGATTGGCTATGGGTTCCGTAGTGAAGAGTGCCAGCACTTTTCTTTTTCCCTGCACTATTGAATACAGCCTTATTTGTGCTGTTATCTTATACGAGATGTGGAAAAAAGTAGAAAGAATTCGCAAGGGCGACCTGCACAAAAATGCTTCGGGTATCAATCTGGAAAAAACCCATCAACATCAGCAAAGTAAGTTCAATAATTTTAAGCTGAGTCTCCATGTCCTAATTATTAAGAAATAGACACAGTAACTAGCAAGTGGTTTCCCTCTGGTGGGAGAAACCGAAATTTACCAGTTTTTATAGTATGTAACGGCTTAGTTAGAGTTACATTTACAGGGTTTACCCCTCTTGTAGAAAATAAATTTTATTCTCTACGGCACTGGTAAAAGTGACAATTTATTTTTTGTAATGAAAATGTTCAATGTACTGTAACGTTTCTCCTCTTATCTGCTTGAACACTCGTTTCTTATCTTAACGTGCTTTATTTTCTCAAATATTAGTTCCGTTCTCTTTCATTATGAAGCGGTGCACTTATAAAGTTTACTATACCGGCGCCTATAAATTAACCTTTGTACGAGTATATGCCTTTGTTGCCCACTATTACGTTATCGATAATTACTTGAAGAGCTCCTACCGTTGATCATTCCTTTCCGAAATTTATATTGGAAGGGCGGTATGCGCTCACCGACTGCCTCCTCCATCGCCCTTCACTATCGGCACTAGTCCTCTAGTCTTCCACTTCTTGAGATATGCTCCAATTCGCAACACTTGATTGATTATCGACTTTTCTCACAATTAACTATTGTTTTTCTTCCGGGTTGGTGCGAATTGTTCCGTGAATCCTTTATACCAACGCCAACTTACAGGTGGTCGAATTTTTTTAACCGCTCGACGCAAACGATATCGTGGCTTAACGCACGTTGGTCCACGGCTCTCTGTCACTACCTAATTCCCACTACTTTTCTTTTTTAATTCAGCCCCTGGGTTAAATCCTTGTCCGCCAATGAATGAGATTTCTTGACATACGTAACTCAATTCCACATAGAGTTGAATATCGGTGAGTTAGCAATTCCTTAGCTAACGACGGATAAGACTCATCCAAAATCGTCCCGTAATTCTAGTTAATTTCCTCCTGTCCCACGACTTCGCGGCGCCTTAAACTTTCACATAGATTTAAAACAGTCAGGATCGTATTCCAGGACCACGCACCCACATACAAAGTGTCGCTACTCTCATCGTATAAAGTGATCACAATCGAGAAATAAATCAAAATCGTATCAATCCACTATATCATTCAAACAGAGTTTCCCCTATCCAATGATCATACCAAACCTTAGTGATAAACTGCAATTTCCGAACAAAATGGTAGTTTCACCAAGGTCTGGGTATTGATATGGAAAAAAAGGTTCATATACCTAAGTGATCAAGGGTGGTACCGAAGATTTTCGTAAGGATTTTGAATCTGCATCTTTTGTTGTTCTAATATTAAACCCAGAGTCAGGGTGTACTTCTTTCCATTTCAATAAAAAAGGCGATTTTTTAGAGTTCGATTTATGTGGGTAACACGTACTGAAAAATGTCTATAACGAAAGTGTATGTATATCTTGTTGAGTTGTATTATGCGTAATACTTTTTTCAGATCCTGCAGGCATCTTCGAGCATCCCCATCCAAAATCAAGTCATCACATTTCAATAGACTGCTCGAATGCGCACAAAGGCTTATTTGCCGGCATTCTTGTAATCGTATTAACAATAATCTCATTGATCATATTCTTCGTATTGAACAATGAGAATGGAATTACTGAACAACAGAAACTTTTAAACCGAGCCATCGCGAAAATCGAGGTGAATGTGGTGGAAATGATATTGTACCTCACCAGCATATTTGCGGTCGTGCTCGCCATGTACCGCATGAAAAATCTTAAGTACATTCGAAAATCTGGAGGTAAAGTTTGTACTCTAATTAATTTTTAATGGAGCTGTTTTTCAGGTGAAGGGGCGGGCGTCTTAGACATCACCCTGCTGGTCGTTGCTCAAGCGGGAATGTTTATTTACTGCATGTTTTCAATAATCGGGTGCTATTATATGATAGCAGTTAATTCTCCGATACCACTTTTGACTGAAGTATTTTCATTTATTCAAACGTGCCTACAAACGATGTTGGTCCTTGATGGATGGTGGCGCCGCTGTCGAAATTTAGAACAAACGAAACGCAAACCCGGCAGAGAACTCGTGACATTTTTAATTATCGCTAACATGGCAATGTGGACGATAAGTGCTATGGAAAAGAATAGGGCAGAATTTCGACCGACGCTCTTACAGTTCTTTGGAAATTGGGCCTGGACAATTATCACGCATATTTCTATGCCCTTAGCGATTTTCTATAGATTTCATTCGACTATTTGTCTGTTTGAAATTTGGAAGTCTGCTTATAAAATCAAAGGGCCCTACGGAAAGCATCCGTTATTGCCTTATTTGCAAACTTAAATTAAATCTAAACTTCAAAGGATTCATGGCACATAAAAATAAATTCAACCCAAGTTTACTGAAATTGCTTCTGACATTCCAACACTTCATTAACATTTAAGAAAACTTTGTCTATAATGTCTTCCATTTCTTTTCACTCATTAATTTACGCACTAATTTAAAATGTTAAACTTAAAATACCAACAGCGCCTGTAATATAAATTTTTTCCCTTTTTTGTCGAAATAAACCAGCACCGATTGTTTCTGAATTTCCCAGTATATAACATGAAACCTAATCAGTTTAAATTACGCCCAGGATTACGTTGTAATGAAACCTTACAACCAAAAGATTTTACATAAAGCTTAGGTACATTGCAGAATAGGTACGTGTTCCAATTTTCAGTATGTTTGTTTATGTTATTGTCTCATGAATTGTCATCATCTTATTGATCTTTCATTTTTTCCTTGAATTTAATTGATAAACAAGTATAAATTGTGCACCACTCTTGTGCAGATAAAGCGCATTTTTTTAACCGAAATAGCTTTTGTTTTAACATAACCAATGGATATATTTCTTGCAGACGTCCCAATCGCCCTTTGTGAGTACCGGGGTGAGTACTCTCTTCCGACAATCCGTTCTTGAGGTATAAGGGAATATCCGATCACGATAAGAGGTCGAGGAGGAGGTAGAAATTAATTCCTTTCGTTGAGACCTTTCATTAGAGTACCATGAAGGATAAAACTAGTTTCCCCCCCCCCCCCCCTCTCCCTACCACGTACTTTGACAAGAGGACAGAAAGAAGGGCAGTAGTTGGTAGAAAACGGTTCCTTTTGTTGAGACCTTTAAATAGAATACAATGAGAGATAAAATTAATTTTTAACTCCCCACCCCCACCGGCCCCGTCGCTTACTGAGCACGAAAAAGAGTCGCACGGAAAAGTTATAGTTTGTACAAACCAATTTATTTCGATGAGACCTTTCATTAGAATACGATGAAGGGTAGAACATGTGTTGACCCCCCCCCCCCCCATTTTCAACTTGGCACCACTAAAGGCATGCGTATGCAAAATCTGAAACCAATTGGTTGTCGTATGTAAACGCTATGCACGTTTTACTTTGAAAAACAGCATCTCAAGAAATAATTCGTGGTGAGGGGGGGCTTTTTAGACAGCGAAATTTGATGGCCGTCTGGCACACCTTCAAGGTATAGGCTACCTACTGCAAAAAAATTCCAGGACTCTATGACCATTCCCCTAGAAGTAGTTCAAAACGGTAGAAGTGGGCCCGGATGGACGGACGGACGGACGGACAAAACGAAAACCTAGACGAAAACAATTTTTTTTAATTCTTAAAAAATGCGCTAAAAAGCGCATCTTAATAACAACTGATACACAATAAACGAGTATAAATTGTGCAACTCTTGTGCAGATAAAGTGCATTTTCTAAAACCGAAATAGCGTATAGTAAGTGAGTGCGTTATAAGGTAGTAGCATGCTATATTTATTGATATTTTCTTTCTTGGTAGATAATTTATGGAGAGACTTCACCCTTTGTGGGCACTTTCCTCCGAGAACGCGTTTTCGAGATATCCCTTTGTGAGTAACATCTTCTGACAATCTGTTCTTAAGATATAAGGAATTATTCATATTCGAGCACGATAAGGGGTCGAGGAAAAGGACTATGGTTGGTAGAAATTAACTCCTTTCGTTGAGACCTTTCATCACAATACCATAAAGGATAAAAATAGTTCCACCCTCCGACCCCTTTCTTGATAAATGATAAGGCGTTAGAAAGTAGGGCGATAATTTGTAGAAAACAGTTCCTTTTGTTGAGACCTTTAATTATAATCCCATAAAAGATCAAATTCCCTCCACCCCCCTGCCAGCCAACTGATCTTGAAAAATAGCCACACATGAAAGTTATAATTCACTTCGGTGAGACCTTTCATTAGAATACCATGAAGGGTAAAACGTGTGTTCTCCCTCCTCCTTCCCCGCCCCCATTTTCATCAATTTTACTTGGCACCACGCAAGCCAGGCGTATGCAAAACCAAAAACCAGGTCACATGTGAAAGATATGCACGTTTTACTTTCATAAACATCTCAAGAAATAATTCAAGGGGGGGGGGGGGGGGGGGGAGGGGGGAGACTTGGGACAGCAAAATTTGATGGCCGTCTGGTAAACCTTAAAGGTATACGCTACGTATTGCAAAAATCCAGGACTCTAGGACCATTCCCCTAAAAGTAGTTAAAAACCGCAGAAGTGGGTTCGAACGGACGGACGGATGGATAAAACGCAAACAATAGCACATTTTTTTGAACTCTAAAAATGCGCTATTAAGGTGGCGTTTGCAAAAACTGCAAAAGTTGCCTTGCGATTTCCTGAAAAACTTTGTTTCGAGGTAAAAAAAAATAAACTTCTGCTAACGAATGAAGATAACAAATTATTATCAGTGTGTGATAAAAATGAAAGATATATATTTTATATGGGAGTTTTTAACAACTTATTTCCTAAATATCGGCGAAAGTGCAGGAATTAGTTAAATAATTTTTGTTTCATGCAAATGTCGGAACATTATATATTTGAATGACTGCTATTTCAACCAAAAATTTGTACCCAGAAGGCAGTTATTGTGGAAAGAAATTTCCAATTTTTCAATGTAAACGCCACCTTAACGAACATTTACAGATATTGTATTTTCAACAAATAAGGTTGTAACGCACTCTTTTTGCGCCTACACGACAGCAACCGACTAAACACGGAGTGCGTGCCACCGAAGAGTGCGAAAACAACTTTAACCTATCCTTACCAGTAGAGGACGACGAAGACGAAGACACTCACATTTGATCAGGGACAGTCTCTATTTAAGTCATTTCAAATAAACAAGCTAGTAGTCAAACGCTGGAGCAGTCCTATTCCCATCCGCCTCCGATATCCCTCGGGGTGGTCTAAGCTTCACCATCTCTTCGTATGTTGTAGTCTACGAGCAGTACTCCCCGCGCCGTATCTCATACACCTTACGGATACGCTCCGAGAAGCCCACCTAACTCGATGACGCAAACCAAAGGAAAAGAGATTGCGGATCGGAAACGACGAGAAGCATAATTATGCAAAGCCAGGAGACCTAGTCTCGGTAAGCGCACACACCATAAGCAACCAGACAAAAGTTATCAGTTTCAGATTTTAGCCAAAGCGGAGAGGACCGTACAAGATCCTCCAGGACCTCTCCCACACAACCTACTACCTACGTCAAGGACAAATACACACCAGGGACGACGCTAGGAGCATACCATATTACAGCCCTAACATACAATGGACACATGAAACAGAAACACAAAATCGAGCCCATCAGCCATCAGCCCACCCTCAAATTCTAATACTGAACCGGGACGTTCCCCTGACCAGTAGGGGGAGATTGTAAAGCACTTTTTTTGCGCCTACACAACCGCAACCCACTTAGCATGGAGCACGCGCCAAACCCTATTTAAGTCACTTGAAGTAGGCAAGGGAACTTCACCATCGCTTTGTATGCGTAAGGACGTTGGTGCAAGTGATAGACCGCCCAAAAATCGCTAACTACGTGCTTTTGGGTATCAGTTGTTAGTGTCTCCGAATAGTACTCCACCATCCCCTATGATTACATACTCTTTCTTTCAATTGATCAGTAGTGGTGTAAAAAGACCTAAATCGTGTATATGTTCGCCCCAAATAAAGTCGCCGCGTAGTTCTCCCACAAAACAGTGTGTTTTTATTTCCCTTCCACCACTTCTCACCGCTAACAGGATGTTAAAATGGAATCTTGCAACAATGAAGCAAAGTTCCATCGAGGTAATTCATGTAATTACAGACAAGTATTCAAACTGAAACAAGGTGGAATATAGTAGATACAACATTTGAACTGATTTCTTTGAATTTATCAGTATATGGGTTGCATCGACTAGCGCAACTGAATCGAACGGCCTAAATCTTATCTTATTACGCTCACTGGTATAAAAACTAACTTTTACATCCTTTGACCTAGAAAAGCGTAGATAAAAATAGGAAATCCCTAAGTGATACTCACAGTCACAACTAAATTAATCTGCGATTTATAATAATCTGGGCTTCTACGGCACTAATACATTTGTACACTTAAATGGGAAGAGGTTCTTAAACTAAACTACAATTTGATAAACTGTGCTTCCACCAACTTTTACTTTTTTTAAAGGAAATAACTTCGTTTCTGCCGCAATAAAATTCTAGCGAAAGACCTGTAGGTATTCTAGAGCGAGCGTGGCGGGTTTTCTTTTCCTTTCCCCTTCCTATATTGTACAGCTTAAAACCCAAAACGGCCACAACGTAAAGTGAGGCTCGTCTCGGCCGGCAAGATTTGCATAGCATCCGGAACATATTTAAACCAGCCAACATTTTTGTAATATTTTGTTAAAAAAATGCTAAAAATTGGATAAATGAGAATATCACTATTTGATATTAAATTCGAACCCATAAATTGTGAGTTTGTGCAGAAGTTCAAAGTTGAAAAATATTATGCAAACCGAACTTACTGGCTCTTTAACTTTAATGGCAGTGGTAGTAACACTTTACCTAAGTATTTTTCCTGTAGCCTGCCACTTTACCAGATTCCTTTTCATGCCGCCTCGTATAACGTATATTACATTGGCATAGACACTGTTAATATCTATAATGACTCACTTGTCATCACTTCATTTTATTTTTGGACGCGGATTTTTGCCCGAACCCGGATTCGAACCAGGTGCCCTTAGTACCGCAGTCGTGCTTCCACGCTACTGCACCACTCAGGTCCAAATTTTATATTAAAAAGACAATTTCGGGAAAAATGTACCTAATACAAAACTCGCCAGTAAGTGACGATTCTATACTTGACTCCGAAATTAATTCAATTTAATTTTTCCTCGCCAGTAATGGCAAACTTCCCTGACTTTTATGTAAATAATTATTAACGCGATTAGTCAAGCTAGCTATTTTCAAGCGGGTGAAGCAAATACGTATTTTCAAAATCGATCGCCGGAAACTTTCAAGAAATGCAAGTAATGCAAGAAATTTCTTGTCTTGCATTGAGTGTTTCTTGTCTTGTCTTGCAAAGGTTCTTTTTGTCTTGTCTTGCATAGCCATGCAAGAACAAAAATCACTTGTCTTGTCTTGCGCAAGACAAGAATTCTTGCTTCTTGTGCGAATCACTAACTCGCGATCTCTTTTCGTATGAATCTGTAATCGTTAATAATGGTTTATTTCATAATTCTCTAAATTAATATAGTGAAGCAATTCAAGCGTTATTAAATATTCGTGTGTAGAGTAGTTTTATAGAGATTAATACGCTTAGTTGATGTTCTCTGGAAAAAATATCTCTGTTCAGTTCAGTATACGAATTGATAATGGAGTATACTAAATTAGCGCACTCAATGCCACAAAGCTTTATTTTAATTTGATCACAATTTGTCCTCTATTCGG